TCCTCGCCAGCATACATCATGTAGTTGGAAAGGAATGGATTGCAGCCAGTGGCGATCTTGAGCACTTCTGAAGTTGTGGAGGCCGCAATGACAGCGTTTGTTGATGCGATAGCCGGAATGATATTTTTGACCACACCCTGGGTCATCTGGAAGGTAACACCATGGATATTGAAATGCTGGGCACGTTCGTAAGCGGCATTGTATATCCACGATATGTGTTCCATGTTGTCGCTGTCAAAAGTATCATCTTTGCGCTTCTCTTGCCATGCGATCTGGTGCGCCCATTCAATGCAGTGTTGAGGCTGGCGCGGGATGGTGGCAATAGTGCAGAGAGGAACTGCTGGACGAGGTGCGTGCATATCCAGTTGGCACTCAATGCAAGATGAGATAGAGGGTAGAATGACACGGGCTTGGCCCTTGAAACCTGGTTGACACATCAGTAACATGTTCTTGGCTAAGCTTGATGATATAGGTGGGTACCTTCAGTTCCACCATCAACAAGTGGCTTCAGACTCGTAGGGTCGTCTTCATCGACCATAGAGATCAATGTGGAATTGATCCAGCGTCGAGCTTCGATACTGTCCAAGCCGCAGATGACAATATTGAACTGCATGTAATAGTCTTCATCTTTATCCTGGATCTTGCCGACGTAGGGCGTGATCTTGACTCCTTTTACTCGCTTTTGCACAAAAGCAGCGGCAACTTCGGCTTTGGGCTTTCCGATATCCGCCTGACGAAACAGAAATTGCCGATTGAGATTTGATATATCAATGGTGTCTGTCGACTGTGAGCTTCTGGTCTTGGTATTCTGAGTTGAAACACATACCCATGTCGATGACATGAATATCTTTGAATCCCGACAGTGCGAGATTCTTTAAGATCTCGCATCCTAGGCCACCAGCTCCGCTAGATTTCAGTCAGTCCCTCATCTTGAGAATACCACAACTTTGCGAGGTTGACAAACATCACCCTAAGACTCACGTTAGCGAAAGTACTATCCCCGGAGTGAATCCACTTACAAAATTTTGGCAGATTCCAAAGCATTAATAGGCTCGGGGCCAGGGTTCCAGTCGTCATCTGTAAAAGGGCCACGTTTACTCAAGACATTGTAGAGGTGCTTCCTGTGGGGTATTAGCGCAGATCGAAGGTCTCAAGGGTCATTCAACGCACCATCGACCTTGTTGATCCACGTAGATCGGAGTTTCTGGGGCATCTGGGGTTCCCACATCCACATCCATCTTGATAGGCTCCTGTTATGGACAACTGGTGAGAGTAAATAGGCGCAGTATCAAGTCGCGTTACACAGATTAACGCTTGTTGAGGTGGATGGCAGGCAGAGTGAGCCTGATGAGAGTGATATCAGGAGCAGATCCAGTTCAGCTTTTGGTCGGATCACCAAAGTATTCAAGTTACTGATAATGAAGAGGCTGAGTTGACAGCATCACTTGCGCGTGGGCTGCCTTGGGGTGACTATGGCTGACTAATCTCAGGCCCGCCTATTGTAATCCTCACCAACCTCTCTTTTTCCCCGAAGTGTATTCGAATCGATAATGGAAGGCCTTCTGACAGCAGTGAAAACTGTCAAGCGAGATTCAGATGACCTTGTTACACCTGCTGTCGAATCTCAGCTTGCTGATCCGCCAGTAAGAAATGACTTCGATCCTGAACATCTATCATCACGTCATATCATAGATCTACTTAAAAGCAGTCCCGATCGTGAACAACTGTCTGCCATTTTGGCAGCCCTTGATCCTTTCAGCAAATCCAAAACTTCAAAGGACTTCGACCTCCGAATTGCAAGTCCCGTCACAGCCCAGATTCTTCAATTATTAGTCAGCATCACGATTCCAGATCATTGGGGATCCCTAGATGCAAAAGACAGCAAAGGGAAAGATGCCAAATCTCGAGCAGCATTATTGAGATGTCTTAGCAGCGTCGCGGGTCTCGGTTCCTTGGTGGCTCAGCTACGATCTTTGATCAACGCGGCCCGTGCTTCTGCCCAGCAAGCCAAAGGTTCAAGCAGCCAACTTGCTATCCGGGATCTCTTGGCTGTGCTTGCAGCTTTGCTGGAGCCAAAGGACTTTTTAGCCCGTCTTTCTTCTGATATTTCAGTCATTTACGACAGCAAAACTCGACAGCAAGTCACCTGGAGAGAGCTTGTATCCCTCGTTGCTGCCGGCAAGGTTTTATCGACAGCAGCCGAGGCTCTTACTGTTGTTGACGAGTCAAGATCAGTATCTTCAATCTCCTGGGTTGGAAATGGTTCCCAGTATGCATCATGGCTTGGGCGCAATATTTCTTATATGGTGGCACGACTAGCCCCAGATAATGAAAGCGACTGGGCCTCAGTTGCTTTGTTGACAGGGCGAGCCTTAAGCCTTGGATATACAGGTGAATATACAATGATGGCCTTATTTGAATCCCAGGCTGACGTTGTGCAGATCAGATTGTCAAAGAAATCTACTCGGATCTACTTGTTCGGCAGTCCTTGCTGGCGCACTTTGGAATATTATTAGACCATCTCAGACGGACGGAGCAGCTTGCAGTTTTAGAAGCGATCTTCCGTGATGTACAACGAAGGTACTTTTCAGATGATCTATTGGGAACAGTGGGTCAGTCAATCACTACTTCAGAACCTATTAAAGGAGTGGCAGCTTTGATCTCCGCCGTCATCTCTTCCCGGCCAGATTTGGAAAGTCAAGTTGTGGATTGGCTCTCAAAATCGCAAGGTGGCTCAATAAACACGTTGGGATTACGTCGTGCACTATTAGCTACTTGCAGCAAGAACGATAGTAAGTTCACGTTGTCGAAGGAAACGACAACGGAACTAACCGCAACAGATGTGTTGAAGGCACTGCTCATACGCAGCCTTGAGCAATTTGGAGACAAGTTTTCTATCAAACATGTCCCAAATATGGTCCAGAATGGTTTGTCAACAGCCCACAGTCCTCTGCTCCTAAAATATTAGCCTCTGACATTGAATAGCAACTGCACAAGTGATTCTTCTTGCCGCTGGCCACCTCTATCGGCTAGATCAAGCTCAAGTGAAAGAAGTAGGCCGGTCAGGAGCATATCTCAACGCAGTCTCCAATCGACTCGCCGCGTCCTCTAACAGGGCACGATTTCTTGGCATGGTCGTTGGAACAGGAATATCTGAACTCATTGAGGAACCAGACAAAGTGCTGAAATTTGACATAGAGGAAATGCGGAACGAGGAAGCCCTTTGGTATTCGCATTTGACAAAGGTCCAAGATGAGGTCGGTTCGCCTGAATCTATCAAAGGATTGCAAGAGGTATTGCCAGAAAAACCAGAACTAGTCCACCCCAAGCCTTCACAAAAGCCAAAGGCACAATTCTCCCGCCAGCATACAAGCAAGATTGTTGCGATTGAAGAAGTCGATGACAGTGGTGAAGAGGAAGAGGAAGAGGAAGATGACGACCTCATTCCGTATGAAAAGCCAGACGACGATGCATACGATTCTGATGACGATCCTACGTTGGTCCAACGGAATAAGCCGACAGCGCCTGTGTAAGTACAGATCGCCTGCTGATATGGATCTCGCTAACAAATCTAAGATACATCCGTGATTTGATCCCATATCTTCGAGACAACGAAAATGTCGAGCGCTATCATCTCGCCATCGCCACTGCCCCATCCTTAATTCGACGGAAGATAGGATTCGGAACTGAACTTGCTGAGCAGATCGAGGAGCTAGCTCTGACTATCGTGGGTCTTCAAAATGACAATAATCATCCGTCATTCCATGAATCTCGCCTACAGAGCATGATTGCATTGATTGTGTCCGAGCCCTTAAAAATGGGCCGCTGGTTTACTGCCATCTACTTCGATGGAGACCTTTCTCAAGTCCAGAGATCTGCTGTTCTTACAGCTCTGGGTCTGAGTGCTCGCGAGTTAGCCGGTAATGGAGAGGATGATGCCAAGGCACTGCATCTCCCAACTACTGGCGATACCTCATTCCCATCCAAGCGGCTCTCGCCTGCCCTAGAGGCGATGTACTCAGGAGCAAATGAGTCTCCTATTGCAATGCTCACCCGGGAAACGGCCCGCACATCCTTGGAACCGCTCGCAGCCAACGCAGCAGATACAATGACTGGCCCCAATGCTCTCAAAGTGCGCACTTTCTCATCTCGTATGGAAGTCGAGAAGAAACGCCAGCAGCGTGACACCAAGCGCCAAAATGCTACAATCAAGGATCTGCACAAGGTTCTTGCCGAGGGTTTCTTCTTCCCACTGCAGGGCAGATTTGAAATAATGATGCTGCAGTCTTCGTCGTACGTTTTACGTCCACTCTCAAAATCATATTATTAACATCGCTCCAGGTCCTCCACACCCTCATACAACCCATTCTTCATCCCCCATCTCCTTACACTCTTCCTCCAAACCCTCTCCCTCATTCTCTCTACAACAGGTCCTCACACCCCCTTTCTCCCAGGCCTCACCCATGAAACTCTCTCCCTCCTCTTATCTCTACACACATCCTCGGCATCCAGCGAGCCAACCGTCACTGCCGCACTCCTGTCACTTTTCCTCGCTGTGGTGGATCTCAATATTGCGTCTGGCTCAAATGGCGAGCAGCGTCTTGTCACCGAATACGCCACCCAGGTGATCGAGCTGCGAGAGTGGGCTTCCCAGGTCTTCGACCGGACGCCGCCTTCGGCTGCGCGGGCTGATCCTAGCTCAGCCGTTACCGACCCACAGGAGCAGATACGCACCCTTGCTGCTGGTGTTATGGTGCGGCTTGGGGAGGTGATAGAGCGGTATCAGGGTCGGCTGATGGGTGTTCATTCTGGTTTTAACTATTAGGCAGATGACGGAACTATGTGAACATTATTGAAAATCCCACGAACGAGTACAGCCATCAACGCGCCTTGGTCTTTTACATTTCAAGGAAGAATGTAAATCTTGTTGTTCTCTTTCTTCCGAAAATGACATACATATGTAGCTATCATTATGATCGCTGAGGCGTAGATTGGCCCATTTACTCCGCCTTGACAAAGCTACCCTTCTCGATGGCCGCCTCCATCATCCGATCACCACTAATGATGCTCGTGGTACATATAATAATCTTCCTCCGTGGAGCCTCTTGCGCAGCAATGAAGCGCAACGCGGCGATCTCGGTGAACGTGATACCACCCAGGAAAAAGACATACACGGTCTTCGTAGCTGAGTTACCGCTGAGCGTTTGACGAGCCCGCACAGCCTTATCATCACCCTTCTGCACGATACTGAAAGTCGCACCGCGAGCACTCTTGACAACGTCCTCGAAGCCAAGCCAGCCAGGCGACGTTGTATTAGGGGTGTTCGAGGCGGCCGGCGTACCTCCCTTGATCAAGGATACCATATAGGATTTTTGTAGCACACATTGAACCAGGCGGACGCTGAGGGGCGCAAAGCCACTGTACACATAAGAAATGTCGTTCGGATCCTTTTCGCTGACCTCCTCGATGACAAGACGGAGGTTTTTGCGCAGGTACCCGTAGTTCGTCTTTGATCCTGCTTGTGCACCGGATGTAGGGAGCAGCATTGTCGTTGCTGAGGATCTAGGCTGGAGAAGTTCCATTTTCTCTAGCGCCCAGAATGTGAGAAGGTGCTGGTGGCCGTACGCTTGAAGGACCTGTCTCTTGAAACTTTCTAGGTCGCGGGGGCGGAGACCCCCAGACATGCAGGACTCCAGGCACAGGAGCCGTAGCACAGTCTTAAGTGGAACATCTCGAGCTATCAGCTCTTCGATTGTCTCGTGCTGGTATGTGGAGTCGGCACCGGCTGCATTGTTTTGCTGGACTTCTAAAGTTTTGCGGAAGGTTTCGGAGCGGGTTAGTCGCATTATCTCTTCTGCGAGGTTGGTATGGGTTCGAAGACTCTGGTGCTCCAGCTGGTACGTTGGTAATCGGTTGACAAACTCTCGAAGCTCGCCTGTCGTTTTAGCCGTGTGGCGGCTCTCGTATTCATTTTCTAAGCGGCGAGCCACCTTATTCAGGATATCGCCCACGATTGCAAAGTTTGCATCTCGCAGTTGGCTGAACAACTGATCCGAGGAATCCAGCTGTATCTTTCTTTTCAGCCCCTGCTTGACTTGCTGGGGTGCCTTGGATGACTCGGACTGTGGTGTGGGAGCAGGACCGACAATGCTTGTATCAACGTCTGCCTGGTTGTTCTTTATACCGACATATTCATCAATTAAGCCTTCATAGGTGAGCTGTGTGAGAAGGGGTGTCCCGAAGTCGACGTCACGGTCTATGATGATCAAGTTCTCTACGCTCGCACTTGGCAACAGGCCTCGTGCAGAGGGATCAGTCAATCCGGAGCTCTCCTCTGCATCAAGTTCTTTCCTCATACGCAATAGAAGATCTGCTAAGCGCCGGGCATTGTCCCCTTTTCCAACAATGCGTGGGAAATAGCCATGGCGCTGCTGGACACCCATGAGAGCCTTAGCAGAATGGAAGATACACCCTGGATCTTTGTGCTGAATAGGATGGTCAGAAAATCTCTCAAATGTTAGCAACCTATGAACTTACCAAGTACAAGTCTTCAAACGACTCATCCAGTTCTAATGACAAGATGTCTTGTTCTAGAGGCATAAAATAAAGAGGAAGCTCGGCGATGTTCACGTCGCCGATGATTCCTGCCTCCTCCAAGACAGAATTGCTCATAAGCGTCCGTCTTGGAGCGAAGAAGATGGAAAACTCATGTTCAACATTTCCATTATTCTGCAAGCGTTTGATTTGTTCTAAGAGAAATGTCAGCTCATCCTGATGGCACTCAATCAGAGATAGCAGGAAAGGGCCCTAATGAAACAAGCTTGGAAATGTTGTAAAATAGATATCGATATAGGGAACATTTCTCCAGATTACATAGAGTAGAAAAGCCTCTGTATAATCTGATGATGGCCCATCATGGGCCCAAATGAAAGAGATCCAATCTGACAAGCCGACAGGGGGGCAAAAGAGACAATGTCATACCTGCCACAATTCGAACGTGGCGAGCTTTCTCGCCACGAACAAGGAATACAACATTGCGTTGTGATGAGTCGATGTTTGCATTTTCCAGCAAGAAGACCCGGTCAACACCATACTCTTGGAGCACGGAGAACTTGACGAATAGACCCACTGGGCCGGCCAGTTCCTGGCTTATCACGAGGTTCTTCTTACCCCGGGCCTGGAGAATAGTTAGCGCATATAATTGCTTCGCTTCGCTCCGCAATCAGAATAGAAGATCAAGGAGGCTGTGCTCACGCCTTCGAGTAAAGTCAAGAGATCCCTCCGCGCCTTGTCCCTAAAATAGTCCGCATCCGACCCCGATAAAGGAGCCATTTCATCCAGGCAGAGGCAATGTCGTGAGCCAAAAATAAACAGAGACGTTGAAGTGCCACTGCGCCCGCATTGGGCTAGCACTGCCACTGCTGATGTAACATGTAACTTTGGTATTAGTATCGTTATCACTGCGCCATCCACCATATAACTGGGTGGTAAATTTGGTACGCCCCTTGTATACATATTACCATCAGGCGGCGTTCTCGAACATCTAACTAGCTCCCCTGAAGGCGTCTCATATTAATTCTTTCTTTTGTCTCACTTCATTCTCTTTCTCCTTACTTTCTTGTACTCCCATTTACCCTCGATCATTTTAATCTTATTCAACAAATCTTTACAGCACTATACCCCCACCCACGCCATGGGTCTTTTCAAGAAATCCGATGGCGACGATGACTCCAGCCGCCGAGCACTCTTTGGCTCGCGGAAGAAGGACAAGAGCCCCCCGACCCCCTCCAACCCTTACGCTCAACCAATTCCGGTAGACCCATACACTAAGGCCAAGATTGGCGTGGGTGTTGCCCCCTTACCTGCCGACCACCCCGCCGCCAACGGCGGCCCCCACTCCATCCCCCCCGACAACAAGTACGCCGCCAACAAGTACGGAAACCAAGGCGGCTACGGCAGTGATCGATTTGGCGGACCCGGCGCAGGCGCCGGACCCTCAACCGGAGGCTCGCGATACGGAAGCGGTGGTTACGGGGGTCTGGGTAGCAGCGATCCCAATGACCCCGCGGCTGCAGACTCCGCTCGCAACGAGCTTTTCGGCGGCGCCAACAGAAACCGGGCACCGGACAACGCGGGCGGCCCATCACCACCCCCGTACTCCGAGGGTCAGAATGGTCAGAACGGTCCAGGACCGAACTACGGTGGCGGCAGCAATGAGTACAGCATGGCGACCTTCCAGGATCGACAGCTGACAGCTGAAGAAGAGGAGGAGGAAGAGGTCCAGGCGACGAAGAACGAGATACGCTTCGTGAAGCAGGGTGATGTAGCATCAACACGGAATGCACTCCGAGCTGCCGCACAGGCTGAAGAAACCGGTCGCGCCACTCTCGCCCGACTTGGTGCGCAGGGCGAGTCCGTCCACGACACAGAAAAGAGTCTAGACATGACGGCCATCGAAGGTCGCATCGCTGAGGACAAGGCAAAGGAGCTTAAGACGCTCAACAAGAGCATGTTCGCCGTACACGTGGCGAACCCATTCACGGCCTCGCGACGCCGGCGCGAGCGCGATGAGAAGATCCTCAATACACACCGTGAGGATCGTGATGTCCGCGACGGAACACGGTCCGAGGCGCACGCGAGTAATCAGCGCATGGACCGGCTGTTCCGTGATATCGAGCGCGATGCCGCGAAACAGGGCAAGGGCAAGAAGGCGAGTGTCACCGAGCGTGCCAAGTACCAATTCGAGGCGGATAGCGAGGATGAGGCAATGGAGGACGAGATTGAACAGAACTTGGATCTGCTCAGTGGTGCTACCGGTCGGTTGAACGGTCTTGCCAAGGCCACTGGCAAGGAGCTGGATGAGCAGAACAGACATCTGGAGCGTATCATGGGCAAGGTGAGTTTTCCCTCTAATCAGGTGTGGGTATGAAGATGAGACTAACTGGCTATAGAGCGACTTTGTCGACGATCAGATTGCCATGAACCGGGCCAAGCTGGACCGGATTCGTTAGTCACGTTGGTTGTTCAAGACAAAAGGGCTGCGATATGCCTGGTGCTGTCGAGCTCAGTAATTTTCTGCGTACGTTCTGTCCGTTGGGCATGGATCACAAATTGGCGTTAAGCTGGTTCTGCATTATCTGCCGTGGTCATATCAGACCCGGCGACTAGAATATTAGTTGAACATTAAATAACATAATTTCATTGATTCATTCTGTACACTTGAATTGACTATGGCATAGGGAAGTAGCCGGACCGTGCGCTCTGTGGCGCCTTTGGTATGCAATATGAGTTGGATATATCGTCCAATACTGCCTTAAAGCCCTGAGAAACCGGAGAAGTCCTGATATTCAGCTCCTCAAACCTCAATCGCAAATCCACGAAGATCGACATCCCAACTGCGGGGGAGCGCGGGGAGTACCCGGAGAATGAACCTCCACCGAGCCCTAAATGTAACGAGGTATAAAACCGCACTCCCACCAAAAAGCAACATTAACCAACAAACCACTACATCTACAAACTACATTAAATCCAGCCTACATCCCCCCACCAAACCCCCATGCCTCTCCCCCAAAAGACCGACATCCTCATAATAGGCAGCGGCAACGCCGGCCTCAGCGCCGCGCTCTCAGCCGCGCAAACCAACCCAACCCTCCACATAACCGTAATCGACAAAAGCCCCCTCACCTGGGCAGGCGGCAACACCTACTTCACAGCCGGCGCCTTCCGCACAACCCACAACGGCCTCCCGGACCTCCTCCCACTAGTCAACAACACGGACGCAACCCAAGCATCCCGCATCGACATACCAGTCTACACAGAACAAGACTTCACCGCCGACCTGCAACGCATGACCGGCAACCGCACCGACCCCGCACTATCAGCAGCGCTGGTATCCGACTCGCGCGCCGCCGTCGGCTGGCTAGCCGCCAACGGCATCCGCTTCCAGCTCTCCTTCAACCGCCAGGCGTATGAAGTCAACGGCCGGGTCAAGTTCTGGGGCGGACTCGCGCTGAAAACACAAGATGGCGGGAAGGGTTTGGTAGAAGATGAGCTGCGCGCGGTCAGGAACGCCGGCGTGGGTGTGTTCTTCGATACCGCGGCCACGGGGCTGGTGACGGACCCGACGAGCGGTGCTGTTATCGGCGTGGAAGTTGTCCACACTGACAGAGCTGGTGCTGGCGCTGACACACACAGGAACAAGAACAGGAGAACCACCATCGCTGCCGACGCGGTGATTCTCGCAGCAGGTGGGTTCGAGGCTAGTCCGCAGCTGCGTGCGCAGTGGCTCGGGCCCGGATGGGACGGCGCGCGCGTGCGCGGCACACCATACAACACAGGCGAGATGTTACAAATAGCGCAGCGCGATGCGTCAGCTAAAACAGCCGGGAACTGGAGTGGATGTCATAGCGTGGCGTGGGACGCGGACGCGCCGACGGAGTCGGGCAGTAGGGAGGTTTCGAACGAGTATACGAAGAGCGGGTATCCGCTTGGGATTATGGTGAATCGGGATGGGAGGCGGTTTGTGGATGAGGGGTTTGATATGCGGAACTATACGTATGCGATGATTGGGCGGCGGGTGTTGGAGCAGCCAGGACAGGTTGCGTTTCAGGTTTGGGATGCGCGGACGGTGGCGTGGTTGCGGGAGGAGGAGTATCGGGGTGAGGTGGTGAGGCGGATTGAGGGGGCTTCGTTGGAGGAGCTTGCGAGGAAGTGTGTGGATGTTGGGCTTTTGGATCCTGGGCGGTTTGTGCAGTGTGTCAAGGAGTATAATGCTTCTGTTGAGGGGGTGGGTGGGCAGAGGAGGTGGGATCCTTCTGCTAAGGATGGGCTTGCTACTAAGGGGCTGGCTGTTCCTAAGTCGAATTGGGCTTTGCCGATTGACAAGCCGCCTTTCCTGGCTGTCAAGGTCACGGCGGGTATCACGTTCACTTTTGGGGGGTTGGCTGTGAATCCTGAGACCGCGGCGGTCACTTCGGAGACGACGGGTGATGAGGTTCCTGGGTTGTATTGTGTGGGTGAGATGCTTGGGGGTATCTTCTACGATAATTACCCTGGTGGAAGTGGATTGACTTCTGGGACTGTGTTTGGGCGTCGTGCTGGTCGAGCAGCGGCGGAGCGAGCTGGGAAGAGAAGACTAGAACGGCTGTGATGCCTTCGAAGATCAAGGGTTTACATATCAGCATATAACTAATGACTACAAGTCCAATTAATGTTCAGAATGTCTTCTATTGATTAGAATATATGTAGTAGCGACAGTAATTGACTCGACCAAGGCCAGGCCCAGCCAGTATCAAAACAATAGGAACATGTTCTTCCTATGGGTATCATCACCAACAAACCTAAAATTGGAAACCCATGCACTGGAAAGGCGATCGAGGAAAGAAAAAACAATGTAATAGCTTTAAGCCATGCAGAAAGCAGGCAATGGAAGATTAAGAAGCGAAAACAAGTCAGGGTATGGCCTGCAGAGAATAAAAACATCGAATCATCACAAGCCCCATGGTATCGAGAAAAAAGCACAAAGGTGACGCCCAGTCTAGGGAAAGAATAAGAAATCAAATCAAAACAACGCATCCAGCCGGAAACCTCTATGGTCATAACGTGGGTGAAACAAAGGAAACATGGAAATATGAAAGAAAAAAAAGAAGCTCTCTCTTGCCTGTCGCCCTCGAACGGAACCCATTATACCCATAAATCACAGACCGTTTTGGAAGGGTATGGTATGTATAAGCGTTTCTCTCTCCGGGAAATGTTTGTCGGAGGTGAAATAGAAAAAGGGATGAAAAGGTGATCCATGCTGTTGTACAAGGAGACGAGAAAGCCGGAACCGTTTGGATAGACATGCCAACACAGTTGGTGCATGCTCAGACGGAGAACGAGTTTGTGAAGGGTGGAGATTCGCTTTAGGCGCGAGGGCGTAGGAGAGGGAGCACTCGACAGCTTCCGTGGAAGATGTAGTCGTATGAAAGATTGGCAGATTACTCGTCGTCATCGCCAGAGCCGGGATCCTTCTCGCCCTTGTGGACCTTCTTGTGACGGCGCAGGTTTGAGACAACGGAGAAGTGCCGCCCGCAGCCTTCAACATCACACGCGAATGCTGGAAAATGTCAGTATGATTCGAATGATTTAGTTCTCACGGAACAATAAAAAAACTCACGCTTTTCGCCAGTGTGGCTGTACATATGCGTCTGGAGCGAAGATGGACGCGTGAACCGCTTGTCGCAGACCTTGCACTTGTGCTTTTTCTGGGTGTTGGAGGGCATCTTGGAGCTGAACTGGCTCATCATCGATTGCGGGCCAGGGGGAGCACTACCGGCCAAAAGGCTAGTGGGCCGGGGAAGAGTGCGCGATTCGTATGACTCGGAAGTTGTGGAGCTGTAGTCGGTCACGGAGGAGTCGACGGAGCCCACCGAGGCGCTGTAGTAGGGGTAGTTGCCGCCGGAGGAGATAGACGAGGCGGAGGATTGGGTGGAAGGGAAACCGTATGAATCGGCCGAGCCTCGCGTGCCGCGAGGACCGGGGCCGTAGATGTTGCGCGGAGTCAGATCCTGGCTGAGAGCGACCATTCCGCGGCTGGCGTCGAGGGCATCACCGAACGTAGGGGCGGAAGCTGAAGCGCCAACGCGAGCGGCGTCTCTGTGGATTGTGTAAGTCTTTGCGATTCCATGTAATGCAGACTCGAATCAACTTACGAGTGCGAGATACGGCGGCCGTCTTGCGCGGATGGGTGAATAGGGGCGTGGGCGTAGGCATAGCTGGAAGGTGCAAAGCTGCTCATTGGGGGAGCGCTGGTGTAGGAAGGAGCCTGGTCGAAAGTTGTGCGCGCAACCTCGTGTTGCATTCCCATTACCTCGGGCCCATAGGCGGCGCTCGCGTAGCTGGACCCGGTCACCATTGACGGGGCAGACACGGGGATGTTGGGATAGGGCATGGACATGGCGGAGCGGTTCACTTCCTCCTGCTTGACCTGGCCCAGCCCCATGCTGGCGCCATTGCCCATGGAGGTCGCATAGACTGGGGGCGTCGAATGCGACGAACTGTGTGCCCACGGGTCTGTAAACTGTGGTGGGGTGTGATGATAGACATTGTCGAAGCTCATGCCGCCATAGGGACGGTTCTGATTTTCCATAACCATCGTCATAGGGAATAGAGTCGCGAATCGATCGCGTGTAGAACTGTATAGAGAGATTGAAGATCGAGTCCAAAAAGTAATGGAATAGAGTGATCGTCTGTGTTGATCCGGAGGTATATGAAGACAAAGTGATAAACCCGATGATCAACAATTATTTTATATTTTTAAGGGAGAAAGAAAAAGCAGAAACAGTCTGGGGAAGGGGATCGGCGAAGCTTATGAAGGAATATAAGGCATGATCCCATACTCCAAAGTGCCACTGACGACGTCCCGTCGGGGGTCGCAGATCGCTGGAAATGATAATACCGGTATTTATTATTTTATTATTTTTATTTTATTCGAATAATGTTTTTATTGTTTAAATTGTTTATAATTGTTTATAATTTGAGTTTTTCCCATTTTCTTTTCTTTTTTTTTTATTTCTTTTTCCCATTTTAAGGATTTTCATGACTACAAATTCGGGATTTCTTTTATTTTCCCCTCTCGGGATTGGTGGACAGACCTGGATTAGGGCACAAGTGGTCCGCACCAGTTCCTCGGGGGGACAATTCCTCTGGATATTGACCCTAAGCATACTAGCCCTCCTATTTACGCTTTGTCAATCAGGGTCTAAAATATATTAATTGCTTAATCAACTAGGCTGAGGAATGGAAGATCTAAAGAATCGGCCATCAATGTTGACCTGGGAATGTCCCAGATGACTCCGGCATCGGAACGGCCATCCTACAGGAAAATAAGCATAACCAGAAATATTCCCTAAGCTTATAATACGAAAAAGGAGAAAATCATGAGACGCAAAAAGCAGTCGGTGACCTCAGAATCAAAGGGGGTGTAGACTAGGGGAATGTTCAATTGGAGACTAGCCGTGATGAAGGCTGTGAGTGGTCGAACTGTGCCGTGTCTGAGAGACAAAAGCGGAAGGAAATATATTTTATTGTGTAAAAACAAAACAAAAGGGACTGCCAAGAAATAAACTCACCAAGGTTCGCCCTGAGTCCGCTGTTTCAATGTAGCGGGGCAGATCCCAGTGTCAAAGGGTATACCCGTTGCCGTGGGGGTTAATATGAGTGATATAGTGATAGTTCTTGCGGAATACCTCTATTCGTGGCTATCACCGTTAGTTCGAGTAGCTTTTATCCAAACTTTGATTTCAGAGACATGGCTTGAGACCAACCACTATCGTAGAATAGAGTCTCCATTATTGGCAAGCTGCAGGATCAGAGGCACATGTTCTGATTCTTTGGAAATAAAAAGATAAAACGGAATGGCTTAAGCCATGGAGGGGGCCTATGACACGGCACAGAGAGGGTTTAGCGCCAACCCGACCTTACATAGAGAGAAGGCAGTATCGAATCACTAGCCGCCAGCATTATTGACTGTATTCTAATTCCATCGAGTCAGGGAATCCGGCAAAAATGCGATGACGTTGGACTAACTCGAGCTCCTGTTTCAGAAGTCAACTAGTTAGAGTAGTCTTGGTTTTAGTTTTCGTTTTAGTTTGAGTATATCTAGATATATACTGTAATCCGATGGCGCACACGGGACAGTCTACGGCTACGGAGTACCTCAGAGCAAGTCCCAAAACACAACATTCATCACACCGTTTAGTTTAGTCCTCGCAGAAACCACCGCATATAGATACAGATACGACCGTGCAATGAGCTCGCCCAGCGGTACACCAAAAAAAAAAAGCCTCCTGCAGGTAGAAGGCATAAGTTCCAATACCAACGCTGCCATTAGCCGGGCCATGCGAGCTGTATCACATAGAGCCCGTCCTGAAGTCCACGCCTAAGGCACCCGGGCCAACAGAAAACCCCATAACAACCTCGTATTGGGCCTTGATAATCAAGAGAGCCACGGGCTGCAAGCCATGTTTTCCTTTTCTCCTGTATTAGGACTGGGGCAGCGACGTCAGAGGGGCGGAACAGCGCAACCCAGTGGGAAAACGGGTAAACGGCCGCTTTGGTCATAGTTGGTGGGCGCCGCTCCCGCAATAGGTCGACATATCACAATTATCACAATCTATTGACCTTTTTTTTTTTTCCCCTTGTGGATTTGGAAATGGAAATGGTCATGGTCATGGCCTCGTGCAGTGGAACCAACAGATTCTCCTCTTTCTCTCCGACCAAATTTTCCTATTCAATAGTGTGTGCCAATACGCAATAAATAAATTTCCGATATGGGTGGTCTATGGTCCCCGAGGCTCGGGGTTTGATGTCACCCATAGAAAGTTCAAAGAAGACATGGTTGATCACTCAAGGTACAAGGTACAAGGTACGAGGGGGGAAACAGATCGTCGACCAAGAGCCGAGGAAGAGGCTGAAGAAAAGGCGACATACCCTAGTCCTCCTCCAATCACATAGTCCTATATCCGTCTCCATCCCATGATTGGCGTTTAGCCCGGGGGGGAGGAAGCCATCTAGCGTAAGACCGAAGTACGACGTACATATATTGGACATCCCGTACTCCGTAAACCACACACATTCGAGGATTGATTCAGGATCAACTGCCGCTCTCCCGGACGAGAGGACAAAAACATGTTCAACCGTGGGCTCGGCACAACGGAGATCTAACCGGGAAGCTTAGGAGCAGGGAGCCAACACAAAGCGAAAAAAGGAAAAGAATAAGCGCAGTTCCAACTTTTCCTCTCTCCCAGCTTCTCCGCATTCCAGTTTCCAACCATGGCGACGCCACGTCCTTTGCCTTTTCGAAAAACTTGGAGTCCCTACAGAAACCATGGAAACCGGCAATTAAACAACCTGTGGGCCGTGGGCAACTATCCGGAGTTCGGTCCTCATCCGTTCACCTCTGCTCAGATGCAGTATGGGGGTATCCATGGATATCGCGGATGTGTGCCTCGAAGGCGACCGTGGGTCCCGGGTTACTGGATTAAGATTGGAGTCGCGATTAGCTTTCTAGGTATGTTGTATCAGACTACAGTTTATCCCCAGCACTTTAGCCTTTGGATGCGAATAAACATCTCTCCAGTCTCGCCATCCTTACTCCGTAGTCCCGTGTCTAGGCGGTCGGGGTGGACATCCCCCCAAAAGAGAAAAAAAAAAGAAAAAAAAGAGCGCAATTGGGCAGTCAGTCGGGTACCCAACTGCCATGTCCACATTGCACCAAGTTGAAAGCGAAAAGTGAAAGGGGGCAAAAAATAATACATAGGTTCAGGTTACTTCAGCTTCAAATTGCCCCATTCTGAAAAAAAAAAGCCCAGATATGGAGCCCTTGAAATTAAAAGAGGCGCGCACTTCTCGGTCTCGGTCAGCCAACCCAACACAACGCAAAAAAAAAGAAAAAACAAGCAATGCAACAAGATGGGCTGGAGGCTGGGCGTGACTCCCCCTTTTGTGCATGCCGTGTTTGGTGGACCGAACAATCTCACCGGCAGAACTCCGTCTTTCTCTCAACGAACGCCCACTGTGCTGGCAAAATGTGGCGTTTTTGAGATGCTCATTTTTGAGGTCGAGAGTGGGTGGGGGAAGGGCCCGGAGGGGATGTGAGAATTAGAACGTGTGGGCGCCAAGAGATGGTTTTGTGTTTTGGGGTGGATATAGCTTGGTTCGTCCCGTATCTGTATACGCCGTACATTGGCAATGGCGTCCAGTAGTTCAACTTTTTGAGGAAGGTATACCTGGGCCATAATATTGGGCCGGGGTGTGCCGGCAGAGCTGGAGAATGGGGTCGGCTGGTACTCCATACAGACCTGCAGCTCTCGGAGTTCTATAGGTTTGCACTTTGTACAGGTCCACCGCTGCAGAAGGGCCCCTAGACTAGACAGACACAGGGGTGGAGCATATCTAAGGTCGTGAACGTTGGAAACCTGTGTGAGAGGACCTGCTTCAAGGTCTTCTCGCGATGGGCCGTCAAGGGGGGAAGCCTTGACGGCCTTGACGGCCCTGACCGCTCCGACACGGCTCATATTAATGACGCGTCTTCTGGGACCCTGAGAAGTTTTTTTTTTTCTGTCGTGCTTTCACGGTTTTATCTGCTTTTCCGAGAAACCCGCTGGAAAATTCAGAAAAGGGAAAAGGGCGGTCAGAGATTGAGATGTGACAGTTCAACACAGGCAGATCGGAGAAATAGCGATATCAACCCCTGGATTTCGATCTCAGTTGCCCATGTCGAGCCGCTTATTACCTCCTCAAGGACGGAGTACGCTGTAATCAGATCCTTATCTCGCACGTTGACGATCCGCCTCAATGCCGAGTGTCAATCAGGTACCCTTGGCCAACAAAGGCCTGTCATCTGCATGGGGCTCCGATCTTGGCAGTTCCCACACGGCAGATCGTCATGTCCCTAATTCAAGGTTGACTGATCATCGTCTCTTTTGGGTGGATATGTTTCTAGTAGTGCTAGTAATGAGTTAAAACTCGATAATGAGGTAAAATTGGATAGCGAGTGAAAATTCGAGGTAATGAGTGATCCGATAGTATGTTCGCTAGTATATTGTATTTCCCCGTCACGCTCCCAATTTCTATACATAGAACTGAAACGGTGAACCATTCATGTCCAAAGCGTTACATCCAGTGGATCTGTGGATGGCGACAGACAATCCGGGTCAATGGGACAACCCATATGGCATCCACAGCTTAGCATCCACAGCTAGGCAGTCCCTTTAAAAAAAAAAACAAAACTTATTGAACTCGGCCGCCCCTGATTGGACGACACCCGGTATCCCGATACCGGACCCCTTTAGGTTTCTTTCCACAGTTTCACACTAATCCGGATTAGCTCGGCCCAGTTGGGCCTAGTGTGGCTTAATTGCATGGGGTCCACATTCTTACATGTTTGCTGCAGAGCCTGCCAGCCAATCCGCAGCGTCCATTGGCAATCCAGGCCCACCTGAAAACGGCAGATAGTCGATAGCCGATCTTGGCAGTCGTTGATCGACCAATTGGATCTTCAGCCCCACCAGGAGCTGACGCGTGCTCATCCCGCGCTTTTAAGCCAACGTGGTTATCGACTCCTTGGTATAGGTCGAACAAAGTAGGAAGGTT